TTTAATAACAACATTAATATTTATCAAAGCATATAAACCTAGCATACACGGCTATAAAAACTAATAACGTTACTTGGTTACATAAACTTAATACCTACATGAATTAAATAGTAATATGTACATTGTACATTAAGATATCAGTAATATTCATATATTAATTAAAATAGTTATTTGAATTAGTTAATATAATTCGTCACTTGACGAATATATTCATATTAACTAATACTGACAATTAATATCGGTATTACTACTAGCCCTCGGCCAGGGCAGTCGGCGACTGCCCGTTCCACGCCCCGCGCGTCTCTCAAGGCCCCCGCACACATCCAGACACCCCCACATAGCCGCAAGCGACTTTACGTGCACACATGCTTAAGTGTTGTTTCTTTTCGCGCAGTGTATATACTTTTTGCCCCTGATGGAATACGGTAAGAACCGAAAAAGAGGCCGGCGACGAGGCGAGCGTCTGCAGTTTTCTACACTCACAACACGAAACTCAATTGTTCATCAATATGGCTTAATTGCTTTTAATATGGCTATTAAAAGACTTTTTGGGGTCAAATACTCTCGCATGAAGCAAATACTTTCGCACGACATCGGTTCTCTCAATGACAGCAATGTAAATGTATGTAAAATTCAATACCAAAATTTTGCCGTGTTGTAATGACGTAATCCTTTCCTCCTGTGGGTATCGCAAGAGTAGATTGAGTGTGAATAAGTCTCCTTTTCTCTATACACCACCACACGAAACATAGCAGCTGGAATTCTGTGTATATTCTGGATAGTGGTCTAAATAGTAATAAGGAAATAGTCTTACTAGTAAGGCGATTAGGAATCACCTAGTAAACTCACCAAAAACTAGTAATTTAACCAACTAATCTTACTGGTAAAACTACTGGAAATTTTTCACCAAGTAGACTTCACCGCAAAAGAAAATTCTCATAACCCATTTGTGCTACTCTATAAAATACTTGAAATTTTTTATCAATACCTTAGTAGTTTATATATGGAATAGTCTTAAATAAGCATGAACTTAGTGTAACTCGAAACCTCAAACTTGAAATAGAGTAGCCCAGTAAAATATTTTATTGTTTTGTTTGATACGAGCGAAGCTTTCGGAGTGAAATAAAGTTAGCTAAATTCTGAAGTGTGAATAATTATTAGTATGATTTAAGTTTCAATTGGTGTTCGGTAATAAAAGTGTAAATTTTGGTAATTCAATCGGCAGTTTTTATTGTCAAGAACCCTAAGCTCGTAACAATATTTACAGTAAAAGCGATTGTGATCATACACTCGATAGTGGGATTCCTTTTTTTTTTTGTAAGAAGTCCATATGGGTTAATGCACTTATATATTGTCTATTGATTAGAAGCAGTGTAACCATCGAATTATTATGTTTAGTACGAGGTAAGTCAAGACACACCTAAAAATCCACGACACCAGGGGAATATAGGTGCGTTGCTGTTGCATAGAGTCAGGAGTTAATACGCAGTCTTTTTCATTAACGAGATATTTTTATCGTCCTCTTTTATCCTTTATAAAATGCACCAAATTACGGATTTGCCGTACTCAATGGACTCAGTAGACGGTTTGAAAAGTATAGCATTGACTTTTGCAAAGATAATTCGGAAGCCATTCGTATATTCATACCCATTATAAGCTATTATCTAGCAGACGCAGAGGCAGAGGGAAACAAAGCAGAAGATGGACAGCAGAGGCTTTCTAATAACGATTAAAATAAAACTGAGGTTGCCAATCCGCTTGTCAAGCGTGGCATCTATGGCAAATATCCCTCCTATTTAATAGGCTGTAACGTTAAATAAGTAGAAGAAGAACTAGATCGCTTGAGCCTAGTATGTTGATGCTAATCGTTGCACACACTGCATGTAAAAAGCCCTTCATCTCGTTATTACTATTGCTAAAGTAATCCCAAAACATTATTCTCTTAATATTAGTTTTCAGTTCAATAAAATAATAAAATATGTTTAATTAGCCCCATATAATCATCCTTAGGATTCTAGAAAACAAAATTGCATACGCTTTGCCAACAGTACTGTTTTAATAGATTGTAACAGCTTACTTGTTCGACTCGAATCATTTTCGAAATTTCCAGTGTTTATTTTTTAATCTGATATCGAATTCTTATTTTACAAAAGGAAGAAAAATAGGGCATGAAGTATTAATGTAAACATTAAAAGACGACATTGTCACCTTGAACTTTTAAAAATATTCGTTAGTCCTTTATTATTAAACTTTAAAAACAGGAAAATCAGATTCCAAAACAAAACAAATATAATTAAATAATATCCACATAAATTATAATCATAAATTCTAAAGCTCTTTTATACCTATTGTCTAAGCACCGGCTACAGAAGCTATATTGTGAAAGTATTTATTCTTTTTTTGTTTTTGAAGACGTTTTTACTTTATTGAAGCTTAATCGTTAATCTATAATAACATACATTTCATATATAGTGTGTATTTCACATTTATATGAGAGATACAAGCTTTTTTGTTGACAGTTCTTTTAAAAAACATTCGGATAGTGGACGGAATTCCTATAAAAACTGCCACAATACCAATTTTTTCTTCTGTATCTTGGAAATGTTGTGCACATACATACAACGTAAATTTTTATATAATTGGGTGACAAACGTGCACAAAGTCCACCTGATGGTAAATGAGTGCTGTGGCCCATAGACATTCACATATATCTCAATTAAGAATCAAAATGCAAATGCGTTGTCACCCTTAAGGACTAAGATGGAAGGCCTCGACTCCAGTAAAAAGGTCTCCGTTTCTCTACACTCACTATAAGAAACACATCAGCATTACGCTGGTATTCTGTGAGAGCGTGGTTGCTACATCTATAATACAGCTGCAGCGTGGCTCTACCACGTATAGAATTATTTCTCTCTCGGAATATTATTTTTACCTTTATTATATAATAGATTTCCCCATAGTGTATACGTGCCATTTTAGTGGCACAAAATTATTTCCTAAGGTAACTTCATAGTTAAGAATTTAATCAAATGATAGATTTTTAGTAGAAATAGTAGAATATACAGCTAGCTGGTTTTTTATTCACCTTAAACAGGAACACATAAGTGCAAGCACTGATATATAATGACAAAAATAGGTAAGCGGGTGGTACTTACCACGATGGACTTCAATGCAAGAAAGGAGTCCTACCACCTAGTAAAAAGTTCAACAATTGGTAGTCTAATTATATACCTAGACCAAGAGTAAGTAGCTCATTTCTAAATAACAATTTTAACACTACTTTACACCAACGAAATGTCCTATCCTTCTTTTTTGTCAATGGTGTGTGGTCTCCATCTATATATTGGCTGGGTCTAATCTATTCCTAATTCTAGCATTTTGACGTTATCATTAGGGCAAGATTAACACCTATTCTGCTCTCTTGTCCGGCGAGCAGTTTCGAGAATGACTCTAAGGGAGAGTGCAGGTCATGTTGATCCACAGGGCAAATGTGAGAAGTTCTTCTTTCACGTAGTTGCCGCCTGTACTTTGGTCTGGTTTAATAGGAAACCGCCAGAACAGAAATATTAGGACGATCCTCTTTTTCTTTTCTTTATTCCACATTCTTTTGTCCTATTTTAACCCAATCTAAAATGTTAAGCGCACCGTGCCTATGGATGGACCCCGCAACTCAACGTTCCAACTTGGGACGAGCCGTGAAAAGAAGGGCAGGTCTGCAGCCTAACCACCATCGGAAACGAACCAGGTAAATAACAAAAAAAGTTCGCTAGGCCTTAGAAGCTTAGTGGGCAGCACCGAAAAGCTAAATGAGACTGACAGCAGCTGAGATAGGAGCCGAAGAGGCCCTCACTTTCTGCCAGAAGCCCTGTGACGAGGTTTCTTTGCCCAAACCTCCCTAGGTTTTTTATTATTAATATTCTCATTTCATCTGCTGTTATTTATTTTACAGCACCCTTTATTCTTTTTTTTTTTTAGTGTACAATCTTTTAACATTTCGTCTTTGGTTTTTTTTATTTTTTTTTTAGTACGTGAGTTACATCTTACTATTACAAGAGTTTATGTGACTAAATATTCTATTTTCTATAAATGCCTCAATTAATTTTTGATCCATTCTCCTACGCCTTTCTAACGCATACTTCAGCAAACTTTAAAAAATGAATTCGTCCGTCATTGTCGTTAATAGCTCTGCTTAAGGTCTCTTCCTTAAGCGTAAAGCCTATACGGTGTTCACAGGTCATTCTGTTTATTGAGTATTTTGGACACTCTAAGAGTATATGTTCGATAGATTGTTGTGTTGCATGATCACAGTCACAGTAGGGGCTTTGCGCTAACCTAAACCTGTGCAGGTAAGCTCTAAACCCACCATGTCCAGTAAATATTTAAGATCTTAAGTTGTACATTTTAATTTTCTTCAGCGTCTTGTATGCTTCTTCGACGTTTGGGAAGAATGTCCTTGTGACTCTACCTGTGTCTGCACTGGTGTATCTTTCCTGCCACTTAAGTAGAGTATGCTTTCTGATGAGGTGCTTTGCGAATGATAGGGGGAAGCAGTCATAAACAAATGCCTGTTTGGAGGTTTCTGCTGCGGATTTTGCTAATTCGTCTGCTCTCTCATTGCCTGGGATACCACAGTGTGCTTTAACCCAGAAAAACTTTACTTCTCCGTTGTGTTTTCTTACTTCTGCCACGCGATTCAGTATCTCAGCTGCGATGAGGTGCAGAGTATTTGGGTTCGATAAACATTCCAGCGCCGATTGAGAATCGCTAATTATGTTTGCGTTCTTCAGTGATTGTTGTTTGAGCATGGTATCCTGACCTTTAAGTACAGGTACCAGCTCCGCTTGATAAACGCTGCAATGGTTACCGAGTTTCAGGCGCGTTTTGAATTTCTCTTTTCCTCTTACTTTGCCAGAAATTTTACTGCCATCGGTGTAGATGCATGGCGAGCTGTTTGCAATATTGTCTATGTCACTCTCTGATGTGATGAGCCGTATGAGATCTTAATCCGCTTCGCTGGATGGGGCTCCATCCTCCACATTGCAACCCCACCAGGGGCTCTTCGCATTGATGTCTCCTCCAAATATGATATGATCTTCATTTAGGATACTTGCATAGGTCGAAATTTTGCACACATCGTCTTCAATCTGTTGTCCACCTTCCAAGTAAACGTTAATTATTACAATACTAAGGCCCTTTATTTTAAATTTATATGCTACAATGTTCTCAGTAATTGTTACAGGGTTGATAAAAAATTGTATGGTTGGATCGACGACAATAACGGCCGCTTTGACTGGTCTTTGAACATCGCTAGAAATTTTCTGTATTACCTTATGTTGGCAGGTAACGTGACCTTTTGCCCCTACATAAAGCTCTACTAAAAGAATGGAAATGCCCTGTGTGACAGCTGATTGCAGACATTCCTGAAATGTAGCTCGCCCTCTTCCGAGGTTTATCTGTGCTATTTTTATTCCTACGTCCTTCGTACTTGTTGACTCTTGTGGGGCAACGTCGGTGTCTTTAGCAATACGATACAGTTGCTCTTGAAATCTTGTCCCATTTCCTCCACTCTAAGCACTCAGGGCTGTAGGCAGGATGGTCGCAACTTTGGTCATTAACCTTTCTGTGTATGCAATTTATACATTTTGGTGCCTTGTTCCTGTTATTGCACTCTCTTGTGTCGTGTTCCTCTGCACAGTAACCACAGTTCACTTTTTGTGCTTTACATTCCCGTGCTAAGTTAGAATAGCCTAAGCATCGATAGCACTGGACTGCCGGTGATTGGTCAGTGGCTGGAATTATTTGAAATCCTATTCTCACTCTCTGATTCTGTAACCTTGCCCAGATTTGCGTGCTTACTTCCAAGATAATATTACACGTGGAGCTTGTAGCTGCTGCCGTAATATCGCTTAGAAGTGTGGTGTTCTGTTTTATTATAGCTTCTTCGATCTTACCATTTGACAAGTCGAAGACAACTCCTGTAAGACGTAAAAGTGGGTTTCTAGTGGCTGGTCTGTACACTTTTAAGTTGTCAGTTGTGTGCTTAAGTCGGTCTTGAAGAATATTTCTATCTTCTTCAGACTCGCAACCGATTAGAACCTTCTGGTTCCTGGCTTTCTTAATATGGTTGATGCCAATACCTAATTCGACTACATCGATCCCATCCTTAACTTGCTTCATGATGTCATTGCTTGTATTTCTGGGGTCGATAGATTCCACTATAATCGGAAAGTATGGAAACAATTCCACCTCCGAAAACGTGCGTGGAAGCTTTTTACGTTGCGGCATTATTGAGTGCTGAGTTGATTCTGTGCCATTTTCTTCCATCATTTTAATTTGTACACTTCGTAACTCTCTCTCTCTTCGACCTGTGATTTATGCTTAAGATCACTTCTAAGGCCCTCCATCGCTAGTCTGATAAGTGATGTCGAGTCAACTGCAGTGTCTTTCAACTCCTTCATTTCCCTCCTCAGTTCCTCCAAGCTGGCCTATACCGAGGGGAATGCGGAGCTCGAGACAGCCGAGGACAGGCTTCGGATCTCTAGAGATATTCTGCTTACTTCTTGTTTCAACTCAGATATTTCTGAGATTAACAAAAGTTTGGAGTCCGTGATTTCCTGTTGCAATCTCTCGGCAGGAACATTTGCATCGTCTATATTCGCTGGTATATTGGCAGGTAATTCATATCGTTCTTTATTGGTCTCTATCTCCTGTATGATGCGCCGGAGCTCTTTGAGTTCCTCTGAGAGATAATTCCATTGATCTTGGGTTGCAGTCGGTGATTTTCTAAATGAGCTCACATTGTCTCGAAGTAACTTTACCTCTTCCGAGATAATCTGCAGCTGACTTGCCAAGTTTGAGCCTAAGCTTGTTTCGTTTCTGAAATTTGTTATTTCTCTCTTCGTTGCTGAAACTGCCTCACAAAGATCGTATGAGACAATAAGTCTGGTTGACTCAGTTTCCTTGTGGAGCTTCTCTATGGTCTCTTTCAATGTGGCATACTGACCTAGAGTTTCATGCATGAATCATGCATGTCTTTGGGTGAGCCTTTCTGATTCTCTGGAAACATTCGCCTTATGCTTACTGGATTCGAGCATGTGTAGCATGCGTGAGTCAGACAACTTAAGGATCATCTCGTACAGTGTGTGCGGACCCGCAACTACATTCTCGCGAATTTCCTTCTTTAAGTTGCCCGGCTTTTCTAAGTCTGCTTTGGCTCTTTGTACGATTTCATTTGCGTGTCTGGGCAACTCATTTAGCAGCATACGGCTGCCACCAATCGACCTTGTGGAGGCGTTTGTGTGCCGTGCCGTCCGCCGTGTCGAAAGCATCATTTTTATTGAGCTCCGTTTTCAAAAAATCGGAAAAGTGGGTTTAATTTGTGCTACTGTGCTGTGTTATACACCAAGGTGCGCGGAAAAGTGTAAGCTCTGATCTGTGCATAGTGTTCGCAAGTACAGGATTTTGTCTGAGTGGATTTTGTCGGAAAAACTGCAAATAACCTCAAAAACAGGTAAAATTTTATCATATATCTGCGAACGCTGCAAAATCTAGATCAGGAACCTACTAACTTTTTAGCGCATCATTTGGCATTTCATTAGCTGCACATTTTATAATCTGTTCCGGATTCTTCAGTGAAAAATCAAGGAGTTATAGCGTTTTTTCTGAAAAACCACGTGGCAAGTGGTTTGAGAAATAAACACGTCGGGCTGATTTACAGAAGGTATCTAGATGCGTTGTACAACGGCCTTTCAGACGACACCTCAATTGTTTGGATCGGTTCACCCTTGCGCTTTTCATTGATGAAAAACCTCTTATGTCAAAAAATTGTCATATATAACCTCCTATAACTGTCAAAGTGTAGGGGGTGAAAAGACCTTTTAAACGAGCCCAATCTCGGTAGGTCTGGCATCAGTGGTTTCCGAGATAGAAAATTTCAGTATTTATCGACGCCATATTGAACATTCCCGTTCACTCGGCTACGGGTCTGATCAGATCATACAATACCTACCTTACGTCGGCTCTAGTACGGGTCGGATTAGATCAGAAGTACTGCCCTATGAACTATTTTTTAAACTATTTTTTCGTTTTAAACAAAACCAAAGACAATATGCAACAGATAATAGTATCAAAGACAAAGATATGCTCTTTTATTTTAAACCATAACCTGGCAATGTTTCTTAGGAAAAAATAATTACTCTGAACTTTCGGCGTTCCACGTGTCGCTTTGATGAAGGTGCTCCGTCTTTTTTATAGAATTTTGTATTTGTGTCTGGACTAAAAACGAAAGTATTATACTTTTTTATATTCCTTGTAATATAGTAAACGCGTAGATATATAATTTGTGGTATAAAAAGTGAAAAGTAATTGAGTCTTCAAAATCCGGAAGGCCCATTATGGCGGTTGGGTCATAAATGTGTTATTTTTCAAATTCAATTTAAAAATAGTTTTCTTACATATTTCAAATAACTTGACGTTATATTTATTTCAAATTCACACAAAACTATTTTTGAAATATTGTTCGAAATGTCATACAGATAAAATATTATTATTATTATTTTTAATATTTTAATATTTTGGTATGAGTAACGAATAGAAACACATAAAACATAAAAATATACATATTTCCAAACATTTTCATATAAATTTCTCCAAAAACAAAAGTGTAGAATTCAAATTAGTAGTAATTTTGTAACTAAAATTGAAGTATATACTACTACTATGCTATACAGGGTAATTTATGTATTTTATTACAATTTCTAGCAACCAAAAATAATTTATTTCGATAGTTTATACATTCAACAAGAATTCCTGTAAGTTTTATCCATAAATATTGTCTCAAAGTGTAAAGTGTATAGCAAAATTTGCAATATAGCAATAATAATAATAACAATAATTTTCTAACTTACAAATTTTCCCGCCATTAAGGTCCCGAGCGAACGGGAGTATAACATGTCGCGCGCTGTCAGAGCTTACCTATTTAAACCATTATTACTTTGAAACCACTGGCACTAATATACCAGTGTATGGGTTCGTTAGAATTGTCGTTCTGAGGGCTACTCACTCAAAGCCAAAAAATATATATAAATAAAAAGCAACATTTTCTCGCGAAACCATACTCATTACATAGATCAGAGAAAAACGAGTCTGGCAAGCACTGTTGGGTCTTTAAATCACATTTTGGCAGCGGTTTGAAAATATTGGTCGGCCATTTTGAAAATATTTGGAGAGCTGTAACTTCTAAACCCCTTAAAATAGGATTGCCGTTCTTGGGCTTGTTTTTTTTGTCTATTAGAGACCTATCTCTTTAGAGGGAAGAAAGATAAGGAAAGAAGAAAGAATATCAGATAAATCAAAGAAATCCACGTCAAGTGGTTCTGAAAGGTACACAGCACCCAAAAAAAGACCAACATGTACAGCAAAAAGTGCAAAAGAGACAAGCCGGGTACCATTAATCAATGACCCTGTGGAGGAGTCAGCTTATCAACACCCGAGTGCACCACCACTGGAAATTTTTGGAGGCGGCACAGGGAAGCAACATACGAAATCTCAAACGGGGGATCAGCACGAGAAGCTTTTTCACGTCGCCAAAACTCGGTGATGCAACGTCATCTCCAGTTTTCTCGAGAACTGGATCTAGCCTGCTTATAATACGTACGCAGATACAGCAGGCAAAAGCAGCAGAAGCTCAAGAAACTCTCAAAGCCACGTCTGAGGCTGAGAAAACAGGCGAATCTGATGTTGACAGTAGCAAGACCAACATATCCCTCGACCTCCCTAGGTTCTGAAGGCAAAAAAACGCAGTCGATCTGAGGAGGAGTCCCCTAAAGACAAACCCAGGATATCTGTGAAGCTAGCAACGGGGATAAAGAAACTCAGCTACAGTGCCTTAGATAGCTCCGCGCGTGTAGGAATTCACAACTCGAATCCTACGAGCGTGAAACAGATACGGCTGATTCACCGAGCACTAACACCGGCTATCGCTAAGACGGCCTTTGAGATGCAGCCGGAAATGGGACCAAAATTTTCGGGTTTCACCCATAAACTAGACTTATGTATCTTGGATGTGATTTTTCACTTCTGTCCGTATGAGGAAGTTCAAAGCAGTTCAGCGAGCTATGAAGAGGAAGATGCTCGGGGTTACTCTGCGTGATAGACTTAGAATTGCGGATATCCGCAGTAGAACCAGAGTATCCAACATAACTCCATAGGAATTAGTAAGATGAATTGGCAATAGGCTGGCCATATTGCTCGAATAACAGACAACTGATGGGAAACAAAGGTTCTCGAATGGCAGCCTTGTCGCGGTATGCAAAGTATATGGTGCCTCCCCCCACCAGATGGATGACGATCTGGTGAGATACGCAGGAAGTTGATTTATACACGTGGCTCAGGTGAGTGCTTTGTGGGATTTCTTGGGGGAGGCCTATGTTCAGCAGTGGACTTGTGAAGATCTGTAATAATGATAATGATGGTGATGAAGTTTGGCGAATTTTACGAAAACTAAGAAAAAGGTTGACTTAAAATTCAGATGTGTTGTCACCCCTGATGGAATACGGTAAGAACCGGAAACGAGACCGGCGACGAGGCGAGCGTCTGCGGTTTTCTCAACACGAAACTCAATTGTTCATCAATATGGCTTAATTGTTTTTAATATGGCTATTAAAAGACTTTTTGGGGTCAAATACTCTCGTATGAAGCAAATACTTTCGCACGACATCGGTTCTCTCAATGACAGCAATAAAAATCTATTCAATACCAAAATTGAGCCGTGTTGTAATGGCGTAATCCTTTCCTCCTGTGGGTATCGCAAGAGTAGACTGAGTTTGAATAAGTATCCTTTTCTCTATACACCACCACACGAAACATAGCAGCTGGAATTCTGTATGAGAGTGGTCTAACTAGTAATAAGGAAATAGTCTTACTAGTAAGACGATTAGGAATCATCTTGTAAACTCACCAAAAACTAGTAGTTTAACCAACTAATCTTACTGGTAAAACTACTGGCAATTTTTCACCAAGTAGACTTCACCGCAAAAGAAAATTCTCATAACCCATTTGTGCAACTCTATAAAATACATGAAATTTTTTATCAATACCTTAGTAGTTTATATATGGAATAGTCTTAGACAAGCATGAACTTAGTATACCTCGAAACCTCAAACTTGAAAATGAGTAGCCCAGTAAAATATTTGAAACAGTAACTAATTACAAAATTTTCTTAACTAACTACTTCAGACTTCGAGGAATTCTGGACAAATTCACATTAATAAAATAAAAAATGCCATACAATATAAGAATACAATTATATATCTCATTAGCAGAATCCATAATATGGTATGATCTTTCTAGCTATGGTAGGACCTATAAAACACACCTAGACCGAATTTACAACTTACAACTCCGTATTTTAAAAACTCTAGTACTAAAAAGTGTTATAAACAAATTTAAAAACCAACAACATAATATCTTTGAATTCTGTAAAATATTACCTGTACATAATAAAGTAAAGTATATATTACTTATTGAATGTTTTTTTATATAAATATACAAATTCCAATACAATATAACGTTAACACACGACAGTCAAAGAAACCTTAGCGTTACCAAAATACATAAATCTATATGGAAAACGAATATTAGAATACATGATTCACGATATCATAAACAAACTTCCATTACAACTAACAAATTAATCAACGCAACATCAAAAATATATTAAAGAATCACTTCTTAAGTCACTTATAGTAAGTATTGTAAAATTAAAATAATATATTATAAGTTACACATGAATATTCTCAAAACTAATGTTACAATATACAATAATTATTAATAATATAAAATAAGTTCATCTTTAATATCATTAATTAGTATCAAATTATATGAACAGCCTGTAGATGCGAACTCGACGCGTCAAGCCAGGAAGGCAAATAACGACACCGAGAGCAAACCGGTTTATTGACTGTACGGGGAGCGCGGTTCAATGCGTGCATCACAACATTATGGTGTATGACATAATTATTAGGCATAATAATTATCATGCTATGTATGTTGATGGCATCGGTATACGGTAAAGCTGTATAGCTTATGTTTATACTGTAAAATACCGATCTAAATATTGTAAAATTATTATCAAATAAATAGAAAAAAAATTTAATTTTTGTACTAAGAATGCATTTCACGTTAACGTTTTTTGACTTTATTCGACCGATATTTGTATGTTATAAATAGTAGAAAAAATACTAAGAGAAATTCCCACTGGGAAGACTACTGAGAAGAAAATTCTTATTAGATATTCCAGTAACACTACCTGATAAGACTACTGGGAATACCC